AGGTGTCTATCCTCACCGATAGAACTATATGCCCGTCTCCTCAAATATTTTTAGATTTTAAGAATAAAAAAAAATTCGCTCAAGGTTTTATTCACAACATATAAAGCTACATGGAGTTTATTCGTAACAATAGAACTACATGGATTCTCTTTGTGTGATTGAATAGGAGGTGTCTATCCTCACCGATAGAACTATATGCCCGTCTCCTCAAATATTTTTAGATTTTAAGAATAAAAAAAAATTCGCTCAAGGTTTTATTCACAACATATAAAGCTACATGGAGTTTATTCGTAACAATAGAACTACATGGATTCTCTTTGTGTGATTGAATGATTATAAGAGGTTTGCTTGCAATTAACCCAATTCAAAAATACATGTGTAACCTAAAGGATGTAGATGTTTGATCTCTCTATCCGCATCCTCCTAGATGCAAATGCAAATATTTATGAATATTTATATCCTTTCTCCTAGTCTTTTGGGGTGGGGTGGGGTGGGGGGAGGGGGTTATTTATTGGGGTAATTTGGGGCAAATTGGGTTAATTGTTCCAATGGGATAATTTGAGAGGGATAAAGTGAGGGTAAAATAGGATAATGGGACAATTTGATTGGGATAATTGGTATGACATCTTTTTTATAATATGATATTTATAAATCAATTAAGTTCAAGTTTAACTTGATATTACGTCAAATATTTAAGGACAAATTTTGAAAATCAACCTTTTTGGCAATTTAAATAGCAAAACCGACCTCATATGGTTTTATTCAGCAAAACCGACCCTTTTCTTCCGAAAAGGGTCGGTTTTGCTGCGGCGTAATTTTTACAAAATGCACGGGACTGCTAGTCCCGTGCATTTCAAAGCTGGGTTGAAATGCACGGGACTAGCAGTCCCGTGCATTTCATTTGAAATTGCAACAGCGATCTCCTCCGATGGCAACAAAAAGACCCATCCTCGAAAAACAGTTCTTCCTTTTTCTCATTCCATTCTCCCCCAAAACACGAAACAACGTTACCCCACCCAAAATCTCTCACGTGGCAGCTTATTATTCAACACTGGACGGGATTCAAGGCTTTAAAGCGCCGGGCCCCACACCTCGATCCTTTACTGCCTTGTACAAGCAATCAGTGCCTCCACGTGTCCGCCCCATCCACCGTTCGTTTCTCCTCATCAAAATCCTCGTGGCGTCGCTTGAATCCTCAGAATCAGCAACTGATCTATTTGAACTTGGCACTGTCTATTAAAATGGGTTTTTTTTATTCCGTTCAATTTTTTATTCTTAGTGATCGGTGCTCTGGGTTTTTAATTGCAGAGAAACGAGATCCTGGAGATTTAGGGTTGTCTTAGTTATATAGGGAAATTAGAGATTTAGTTTGGAACTTGGAAGTTAGGTATCAAATGAAGTTGGGCGTAAAAATTGAAGTTGGGTTGAAATGCACGGGACTGCTAGTCCCGTGCATTTCAACCCAGCTTTGAAATGCACGGGACTAGAAGTCCCGTGCATTTTGTAAAAATTACACCTCAGCAAAACCGACCCTTTTCGGAAGAAAAGGGTCGGTTTTGCTGAATAAAACCATATGAGGTCGGTTTTGCTATTTAAATTGCCAAAAAGGTTGATTTTCAAAATTTGTCCAATATTTAAATAAATAACCCCCCTGCATCAAATTTGATTCTGAGTAATTTTAAGCAACATACTCCGCAAAAAAATCATGGATAATTCTGGACAAAAAGAAAGAAAAAAATCCCAATACATTGCTGAGCATTACAACAAGAAACCCATCTTCACTGCCACTTGGTTCTCTTCTAATGTCGTCTCATCCTTGAGAACTTTTCCGCTATGAATCAACAATTGCTTGTCCCATGGGTAATTACCTCTGCCCTGAATCGCTTCGATGTTCTTCTTCACCGCTATTACATTTTATTCGAAAAACAATTCGATGTTAGATACACAATAAAGCTAGTAGATTGAACGCTAGTAAAGGATCAAAAGAAAGTAAAAAATTCCCCCAAAAAAAATCCTAGGGGGAGATTACTGTATCGGACGACTGAACTTGGAGATCGAAGTGCGTCCCTTTGAGAGTCTTCACTGTCAACTTCATCTTCTAGAATAATTTAGAGAGGAAAAAAAAGAGTTCTATGGAATTTTAAGAGAGAGAAACCCTAGCAGAAGTGTGGGAAACTGAAGATAGGTATATACTCACCGGCGAGCTTGTTGGCGGTGTGCACTTTCTCGTCGTAGTCCCAGCAGAGCGCCGCCTCGATGGAGACTGCCGAAGACGAGAGAGAGGTCGCTGGAAGAACGATGGAAGAGGAGACGCTGTACGGAGGGTGAGAGGGCAAGAATTACCCCCTATTGTTCCAGCAAATGAGTTGGGGTAATTTTAAGGATGGGGTTTGAGAGGTCTTTATATAGTTGGGATAATTTGGGGGAAAGTGGGATATTTGTCCCACAATTACTCCAACAAAAAAATAACACCACAAAGTTAACTCCAATTCTAATTACACCAGTGAATAGCACCAAAAAGTGTTCCAAAAATTATCCTATTATCACCAAATTTACACCAATGAATAACCCCCTTGGTAGATTATTTTCCACAGCTGTCGTATTCAACTAGCTTTCAATTGAGGATTTAAGCAGGGAGCAAACTCTAACGAGCCACTAAGACAATAATATCAGTCACTAATGATTGAGTCGGGTAAGAGCTTTTTTTTTCCTGCCAATTTAAAATTCAGGTTACAGTATTTTTTCTCCCGTGCAACGACAAAGTTATGGTCAAGGATGAGCCACGTAAACCTGTAGAGATTCTTTCATGAAAATGGTGGCACAAAATTATGCGGTTTGAACCCTATGTTGATTTTTTTGGGTGTATATCCGTCCACTGTAGGATAACACGTGTTCATTTCTACCATGAGATAGCATAGCTGGTCGCATTCAGAATCATATAATTTGCTCACGTTCGAAAGATCATTCAATAATTCCTTCCTCAAAGAAGTAAATGATACTTTGGCTGAATCCAATATAAACTATTAATTCTTTTTCATATATATCCTTGTTAAATGGTAAAGTTAATGAAAATGATAGAAACACGAATAGAAAATCTAACGAATGATATCATATCATATCATACTCCCTTTAAAAGAGGGAGTTGTGAAAAAACTTTTCGTGGACTATATTGCCCCTATTCTTTTTTAATATTATATTCTAATCATAAATTAACTAAATTAATTATCATTATTAATTAATCATATTATATGTCACTTCAATTTTGTCTAACTTGGCCCTAAAACTTCCAAGCTATTATAAAACTCACATATTTATTATTAATAATGCATAATACTATATTAATAGACAATTGCAAGTTAATAAATTATTTTGGAAGGAGTAGAAAATATAAAATTATCCTAAAATTATACCATGGCACTCACATAAGAAAATTATAAAGAGTATTCTTGCGTACATAAGTACAAACATGCAATTTTAGAAAATATTAGGATATTTAAATGCATTAAGATATAAGTGGAGGTATATGAGTGTAACTTTCGTAAGCTGTAAGGTATTTATGTTTAATTAAGCCTATAAAATTTGAAGCATTTGTTAACCACAAGCAATAGTATGTGATCCATTTGATAAATAATATTCATCATATAATATGAGGCGAGAGGCTTAGCTTATATTTATATAGTACAGAAGATGTGGAAAATTTTAAGCATCATATTTTGAATAAGTCTTAAGATTTTGAATTATAAATGAAATTATATACTTTGCTTAGAATTTTACTCCCTCTAAAAAAGGAAGTTATAGAAAATCTTTCTATGGACTATATTACCCCTATTTTTTAAAATATTATAGTTTAATCCTAACTAAACTAAATTAACTATTGTTGTTAATTAATCATATTATATGCCACTTCAAGTTTGTCTCACTTGGTCCCTAAAACTTCTAATATTATTGTAAAACTCTCATATTAATTATTAGTAATGTCTAATAATATATTAATAGATAACTGCATGTTAATAGATTATTAATAGAAAGAGTAGAAAATATCGAATTATCGTAAAATTATACCATTATATTCATATAGGAAAATTACAAATAGTATTATTGCGTATAGAAGGTACAAACATGCAATTTTTAAAAAAATATTAGGATATTTAAGTGCAAAAAGATACAAGTGTAGGTATGTAATTAAAACTTTTATAAACTGTAAGATATTTAATTTAATTAAGCCAATAAAGATTTAAAGCCTTTGTTAACCACAAGCAATAGTATGCGATATCTTTGATAAATAATATACATCATATAATATGAGGCCAAAGGGTTATCTTATATTTATATACTAGAGGAAATGTGGAAAAATTAAAGCATCATATTTTGAATAATCTTAAGATTTTGAATTATTTCTGAATTCATATACTTTGATTAGAAAGCTTTAAAAGAGGCTTTCGAATGACTATTACAAAGTGTTGGGCATCATATAAATGCTGGACAAATAAAATTCATGACATTTGATTGCAATAATCGGAGTTATGTAAAAAATATCTGGGTGTCATATGAGATAATGATCATACATAATATAACATTGTAATCTATAATCTCAGATATTGATGGATTTTCAACATAAGAATTTGCATCAAGATATATGCTTAAGATTTAGGAGAGCTGAGAGTGGAGAGATTTGGGCTATGAATTATGGTTTTTGTGACTTGTGGTTTAGTTTTGGTTTCCAAACACAACCCAATACCAAACCCACAGTCAAATTAAAAATAACTTGATTTTGTTATACCAGTCAATATTTTCGATAATGCTCGATATATGAGAAAAAAATCCCCAAATAAAAAAATATAAAACCATAAATATTATCAAGATAAAGTATTTAACATTTTATATTAGTCGATATAGTAATATATCGGCCGATATTTCATATATTGCCTATAAGAGCAATATTTAAAGATAATTTAGATATTATTTCTTTGATTTTAAATCTCCGATAATTCTATATTATTCCCTTAAAATTTTACAATTGCTTACAATTTAGGGACTAATATTGAATTATAAAACATTTGAGGGACAAATATATAAATAAGATAAATTTAAAAGAATAGCTAATTTTTTAAAAACTCTCTCAACTATGAGGAATGTCTAAAAAAAACCACTCAACTAATTTAATTTGACAGAGCTCTCTAACTATAGATGTGTTGTAGATAACCTCTCTCAACTTTGATGCGATTTTAGAGAACACCCTTCGACTTAGCGTGTCTTATAAAAACTCTTCTAATCTTTTACATATCTTTTAACAAACCCCCTTAATGTAGAAGACTTTAATATGTGGTTTTTTCAAAATTCTCTGTTGAAGAAAGCCATTTTAGTTAAAAAAAAAAACTCTCAACCGATAATAAAATATTACGTCCAATTTATAATTTTTTTACCTCTAAATCTTCACTTTTTTTCTTTCATCTAGTAAAAACAAGCTAATTCTTTTATGGTTGAGGGATATTTTGGCCTTTCGAAGTCAAATACTTATCACATAATGAATTTAACTCAATGATATTAGTTTTGAGGGGTTAATTGAGAAAAAAATCATAGGATTAAATCAAAAATTTGAAGTTGAGATAGATTAACTACAACACTCTAAATTTGACGAACAAAGATTTACTCATTTTAAGTTTTTTTTTTTTTTTTTGGGGGGGGGGGG